CTTATAATTTGAATTCAGATGTGATTAAATAATCCTGTGGTTAAAACTCAGCTTCCCTGGGCAGCAGTGGCGCACGCCTTTAATCCCAGCACTCGGGAGGCAGAGCCAGGCGGATCTCTGTGAGTTCGAGGTCAGCCTGGTCTACAGAGTGAGATCCAGGACAGGCTCCAAAGCTCCACAGAAAAACCCTGTCTTAAAAAACCAAAACCAAAACAAACAAACAAAAAACTCAGCTTCAAACTGTTTCTTTTACTACCATACTTGAAACAAGATGTCACTAATGTATTGCCAAACCTAGCAAAGGAAAACTAGAAAAAAAAAATGTGAAACAAAAACACAAATAAAACCTCTGTCATCCCACAAGAGGCTGAGGCTAGAGGATTTCCAGAGTGTGAGGTCAGCCCTGGCCTACACAGTAGGCTCCATGTTAGACCAAGCTGCAGGAAATAACACTCTCACCAAAAAACCAAAACCTATTTTTGCCAGCATTTCTACTGGACTGTGGTTAGGATGTAAATGTTAAGAGTTCACTTACATAGTAGTAAATAGTTCATTGATTCTGTTTTAAAAAGGTATTTCTGAGCCGGGCGGTGGTGGCGCACGCCTTTAATCCCAGCACTCGGGAGGCAGAGCCAGGCGGATCTCTGTGAGTTCGAGGCCAGCCTGGGCTACCAAGTGAGTTCCAGGAAAAGGCGCAAAGCTACACAGAGAAACCCTGTCTCGAAAAACCAAAAAAAAAAAAAAAAAAAAAAAGGTATTTCTGAGGCTGGAGAGGTAGCCCAGTGGTTAAGAGTACAGACTGCTATTCCAGAGGCTCCAAGTTCAGTTCCCAGCACCCATAACCACCCATAACTCCATACCTTCTGATCTCCGAGGACACTCGTGTACACACATAGATACAGATACACAAAAATTAAATCTGCGCAGGATTAACTACTTCTACCCTAAAGCAAACCCCATTTAGAGCGGTAGCTTCCAGTGTCAGGGTTAGCTTTGAAGAGATTGATACATTTTTTTTATATTTTAGGTTTATTTTATGTGTAGGAGTGATGTGCTTTCTCACATATGTATGTCTGACATGTGTGCCTGGTGTCTGCAGAGGCCCGAGGACGCTGTATCCTCTGGAGCTGGAGTTAAGGACGGTTGTGAGCCACTGTGTAGGTGCTGGGAACTGAACCTGGGTCCTCTGCAAGGGCAGCCCATGCTCTCAGCACTGAGCCATCTCTCCAGCCTCATACATTTTAAGAGTTTCAGACAAAAGTAACAAGTAACTTGTTGCTTGTTACCAGGTACCATGTTATTAAATAAATCTTAAGTATTCAATGCAGATGTCAGTTCACCAAGCATCAGAGCTACTAGGAAGAAGGCTAGGCCGAGTGGTATATGGTGTGTATGCCCGCACTTCCAGATGTTTGGGAGGCCCCAGCAGGAAGATAGCCAAAGCCCGGAGTTCAAGGACAGCTGTTGTAGCTGGAAACAGCTCAGTGGGTAAGAGCACTGGCTGCTCTTGTAGAGGACAGGTTTGGATCCCAGCACCCATGCAGAGGTTCACAACCAAGTTCTAGGGGATCTGATGCCTCTTCTTACCCTCACGGGCTACTGCAAACGTGGTGCACACACATGCACTCAGGCACACATGCATGTGCACATAGAACTTTTTTTCCTTTTTTGGTTTTCCGAGACAGGGTTTCTCTGTGTAGCTTTGCGCCTTTCCTGGAACTCACTCTGTAGACCAGGCTGGCCTCGAACTCACAGAGATCCGCCTGGCTCTGCTTCCGAGTGCTGGGATTAAAGGCGTACGCCACCACCGCCCAGCAGAAATATTTTTTTAAAGCAACTGTAATTTGTAAAATATCCCTAGTCGGAGCACTTGCCACAGTTCTGTTTTGAGCATGCCAACAGTGCTTCAGATAACAAAGGCAGAAGCTGGGCGTGGTGGCACACCCCTTTGATCCCAGCACTTGAGGGACAGGACTTCTGTGAGTTCAACACCAGACAGGGTTACAATAGTGAGACCCCAAACGGAAAGACCTGTGGGCTGGAGACAGGTTCACTCACCGGCTTCTCTTGGAGAGGACCCAGGTTTGATTCCCAGTACCCACATAACAGCTCACAATGACCATCTGTAACTCCAGTTCTAGAGGATCCAGTGCCTTCTGGCCTCTGCAGGACTGCACGCACACGGTGCAGAGATGTACAGGCAAAATACCCATACATACAAAATAGTAAAATTAAACAAAACAGAGACCTAAAAACGGTTAGGTTTCAAGGAAGTGAAACCTGATTGCTGTTAACACTGGACACACACGTCTTCTAAAAATCAAGTGGCACCATCGTGACAGGCCTACAGATTCGCTCTGCTTCTTGAGGTCAGAGGGCCATACATTAAAGACAAGTGTAACAGAAAACCTACATGAGGGCATTATTAAAGTTCCTGAGATTTATTTCTAGAACCATCTATTTCTGAAGGTACTAGTGAGAACAATTTCTACACTTACTTTTGTGTATGAATGCTTTGCCTGCATGTGTGCATGTGCATGCTTGGAGCCGCAGAGGTCAGGTCTCCCAGAACAGGAATTATGGATGGTGTGAGCTGCCGTGTGGGTGCTGGGAACCAAACCGGGGTCTTTTGCAAAGAACAAGTGCTCTTAACTGCTGAGCCAACTCTAGCCCTAAGAAGTAAATTTAATAGATAATAAATACAGCTTAGAGGCTATTAAGTTTCAAGATTATCCCCTCACCCTGACCATGACATTGCTGTGAAAACTGACCAAGAAAGCTCGTAATGCGAAGCCTGGTGAGCAGCCGCCAACACTAGTGTAGGTGGGCTGTGAGACAAGTGCCTTTGAACGTGAGGCTCAGAGCCAGCATCAGTCAGCATCACCCGCCCATCTGTTCCCTCCCGCATCACTCATTCACATAAGAGTGGGGATGGGCAGAATCACACAGGTAGAGACGGTTGTCTGGAGGTGAAGAAAGCCTGGCGTTCACTACCAGAGATGGTGGAAGTAAATGCCAGTCCTAATGCAGGCTCAGGAAGGAAGCCTGCCCTAGAGGCCTGTAAATAAAATGTGCACAACTAAAGAAAGTCTGGATCCCATTGAATCTTGGTACTAAGCAGAAGTATACCTAAAGGAAGAGGCTACTTTGCTGACAATGAAGACATTTATAGGCCCTTCTCATGCACAAAGCACTCTAATACCTATTATCCAACTCAGGCCCCACAGCAACAGTATCAGCAGCATTCCCATTTTATAGATGGAGATACTGAGGCCTAAAGGAGAAGACAACCACATGAAAAAGACCCAAATGTTGTGTGATATTTTGATCATTTTCTGACATGCTTGGAGTCGGAGGGCAGGGGAGGGCAGAGCTAGCCACTAGCTGATCAAAATTAACCACAGAGGTTTTGGAGGACCGAGGAAAGCTAGGACAGGAAGTAGTAAGGCAGGGCGGAGAGAGATCTCCACCCCTTTTGGAGGAAGGTAGGAGAGGACTGGTGGCTTCTCTGCTTCTCTTATTCTTCAGGTTCTCCCGATATCTAACTCCTGAATTTTTATTGATTAAAGAATAGTTAGAGTAACGCTTCACCTAAACCAGATCTGAATCAGCACTGTCCACCATCCTGTTACAGATCGTCAGGGAGGAAGAGAGCAAATGACCATGGTTGTTGCTTCATTCTCAAGGTGGAAATAGGGCATTTGACAAGTTAGTATATAACCGAGAACAGATTCCTGATTTTTTTTTTCTCACTATGTGGCCCTGGCTGAACAGGAACTCTCTTTGTAGATCAGTCTGGACTTGACTCGAAGAGATCCCTCTGCCTCCACCTCTCCATTACACCTGGGATTGAAAGTGTGCTCCATTACACACCTCGCTCACTTAACACAGCTAATCAGTAACACATGTATCAGTATGGTTCTTACCTGAAATGTATTTATATTGGGTTGTGTGCTGTGTGGTGGTCTTTCTTTATGCTGTGAATATGTGTTGCTCTCATTGGTTGGTAAATAAAGCTGTTTTGGCCGATAGTCAGGCAGAATAAGGTTAGGCATACAATCAAACTGGTGATGAAAGGTGGAGTCGGGGCAGGTGCCAGTCAGTCGCCAAGGAAGCAAGATGTGTAGAAAATGAGGTAACAAGCCAGGAACCACATGGCAAAGTATAGAAAAGAAATATGAATTAATTTAAATGTAAGAGTTAACTAGTAATAAGCCTGAGCCATTGGCCTAACATTTATAATTAATATAAGCCTCTGAGTGATTATTTGGAAATGGCAGTGGCATGGGGCAGGACAGAGAAAAGCCTCCATTTACAGTTGCATAGCTAGAGAATCCCATCTGCTGCTTCAAATTTAGTAAAAAATGAACCCAAAACACCTGACTGAGAATCCACTCACCTTTCCACCCAAGTGAGAGCCAAGGAGTCTGCAGCTACTGCTCTTGCTATTCATGACTATCAGCTCTAAAAGGCTGGGTGGTGCTGATTGTGCCCGCTTCTGCCCAGCTGTGGTTGAAGCACCAACTAAACAGCAGTCTCACAAAAAGACACGTCTCCATAAATCTGTTAAGGAATTAAGTGAAATCCAACTATCACGAAGCTTTTAAGGATGAGGGCCTTATGCTGCTCGAGAAGCATTCTACCACTGAGCTATGTCATCGAACCTGCAAATAACTGGTGAATGATTGAGTAAATGACCATCTGCTGGGGAAGTGCGTGCGTGCATGCGTGCATGCATGTGTGTGTGGCCGGGGGCCCAGGGCTTCATGCTAGAGGAGCATTCTACACCTAATACAACCCACAGTAAATGTTGAATAATGTTTGAGTAAATGACCTAAGTGATTTCTTCTGGCTCTCACTGTTAATCCTATGAGGTGCTCAGAAAGAAAATTAGGTAAATTACTTTCACAAAGCAATACATGATTCCGTGAATACCATGGCAATGAACCACATCTCTTTTGTTCCCAACAAAACTCCAGCAGCAGAAAACACACGAGTGCTGAGCTGGGAGTCCGTAAAGGTCTTTATTTATGCATCAAAATTTCAAGTTGCCCAGTCTCAACCCCACCAGTTTAGGAACCAGGACGGGGGAAAGTGTTAACTCTTAGCAGCATTTTAGGGATTTAGAAGAACGCTATGTGAAGCGTGAACCTAATTAGTCTTATCAATAAAAACCAGGAGTCAAATATCGGGGTGTTAGCCTGAAAGATCAGAGAAGCCGAGGAGCGGCCACTAGTGACTTCTTACCTCTCCGGATCCTCAGACCAAAAGGGACCCACCTCATCACTTCCTCTGCCTCCCCTGGGATTAAAGGCAGGAGCCACCACCACCTGGCCTCTACGGTTAACTAGTGGCCAGCTCCATCTTCTGATCCCCGACAAGTTTTATTTGTCAGAACACAAAACACCACACAACAGCTCTGTGAAGTGGTGACTGCATCTTCTGCATCAGAGGGAAGGGAGGCTCTGTTCCTCATCCTGGGAGGGAGTAAAAGTTCCAAACAGGATGAAGCAGGCCAACAGTGCTGCATCCAGGTAAGGGGCGGGCGTCTCAGCCTCAACAGCACAGACACCAGTGAGCTCTCCTCAAACCTTCCCCTGGCCTCATTGAACACACCCTAAGAGATGAGCTGTTCTTTTAAAGTGCTCTCATCTAAAATGCAGCCAGGCTGCCCTGTTAGAGTGACCAGGGGTTCTGGAGCCTGAGACATGAGGGTACATTTGATTCTCATTCTCTCTTCTCTCTCTCTCTCTCTCTCTCTCTCTCTCTCTCTCTCTCTCTCTCTCTCTCTCTCCTAGTATCAAACTTTCTTTTTTTCTTTTTGTTTTTCGAGACAGGGTTTCTCTGTGTAGTTTTGATGCCAGTCCTGGATCTCACTCTGTAGACCAGGCTGGCCTTGAACTCACAGAGATCCGCCTGGCTCTGCCTCCCAAGTGCTGGGATTAAAGGTGTCACACCACCACCGCCCAGCCTAATATCAAACTTTCAATCCTCATGTCTCAGCTACCCAAATGCTGAGATGACAGGCAATTACATTCAGTCCCGCTTTTTTTTTCCAATTTGCCATATCTCTATAGATTAGAAGTCCTTTAATAATGATCTTATCATTTCTGCCTGAGTTCCTACAAGCAGATCCAAGTCCTTTGTATAAATCCTGGGACTAGACTAGAGAGATGGCTCAGTGTTTACTGAGTACTGGCTGTTCTTCCAGTGGACCTGGGTTCGATTCCCAGCACTAACAAAGCAGCTAACAACTGACTCCAGTTCCAGATCTGATGCTCTCTTCTGGTATTTCAGGCACCACATACCTGGTGCACAGAATTACATACAGGCAGAACACCAGTACCCACCTCAAACACCCAAAGCAAGACCTGTTCTAACAGTGCTGCCTCTGATCCTTCCACCTGGCATGCCTACCCCACCGCAGACCCTAAAGTCTATTTAACTCTCCTACAAACACGACTACCACACAGCCTTGAGCAGAAGGCTCAGAGCAAACACCTGCTCAGACCGAAACGGGGCCTCCGCCCCGCGTCACACAGGAACAATTACCAGAGCCATTTTCAGTAGCTTCCAAGTCATGTCTATGCTCTTGTCCAGAAGTCTCTGTTACTACTGAACGATTTGGGGTTTGGTACCAAGGATCAAATCTGCCATCTTGAACATGCTAGTCTAGCTCTTTACCACTGATCTACACCTCCAGGGCTCTAGTTCCTCTTCCAGACAATCTGTCCTGAAGCCTAAATGGTAACACTGTTTTCTTTTGTATTTTGAGAAACAGTCTCATTTAGCACAAACTGGCTTCAGACGTGCTAATAGCCAACACTGGCCTTGAACTCCTAACCCTCTTGCCTCCACCTCCTAGGTGCTGGTATTTCAGGTGTTAGCAGACACATCCGGCTAGACTTTAATGACTTACTAGTCAGGTGTGGTGGCAATTTCTGAGTTCCAGGCTAGCCTGGTCTACATAGGGAGTTCTAGGGCAGCCAGGGCTACACGGAAATAATAATCTGAGCACGTAATATAGCATACTTTCATTATTTATTTTTGAGACAGGTCTCACTATGCATCCCTCGATAGCCTGGAAAGTCACTATGTAGACCAGCCTGGCCTTGAACTCATGGAGATCCACCTTCTCCTGCCTCTGGAGGCACATTCAGCACATTATTTTACTTGGAAACAAAAATCAGCATTAGAGTAGTTTGCAGCATGTATTTGGAGAAATCATCCTCAATACAGCCATTCTTTTTCTTTTTCAGGTGGGGTCTTGCTATATACCCCAGGCTAGCCTTCTGCCTCAGCCTCTGAAGCGTTGGGATTTCAGGTGTACTCCCCCAGGCTAGGTTTACTATGCCCTCTGACCTGCATCCTGTCATCACTGCATAGTTTTCAGAGTGAATGTTCCTTTTGTCTGATGCCCAGGGAAGCTGACTGGAGATGTTCCAGTCTAAAATACACACAGTAGTGCATGTACTACCCCCACCTCCCACCCCCGCCCCAGACAGAGTCCCTCTGTGTAACTTGGAGCCTGTCCTGGAACTCGCTCTGTAGACCAGCTGGCTCCTTAGACCAGGCTGGCCTCAAACTCACAGAGATCCGCCTACCTCTGCCTCCCAAGTGCTGGGATTAAATGAGTGCATCACCACTGCCTGGCTTACTTTTTTTTTTTCTTTCTTTCTTTTATTTATTTTTTTTTTAACAGATCATCTGTACCACATCCAAAGCACTCTCATGGTCATATGGTGTGTCGGGAATTCTGGTCACTCAAATTCCTTAAGAATTCTGCTCAAATACTGGGGAGTTTTCTTCCTTATCTAGATTAGTGAGGGTGGGCTATTTTATCTGAAATACTTAAATCTAATTTCTGAATTAGAATTTCATCAGCACATTTGTGTATTCATCACAGTGGATTATTCTCTTCTTTCCTGTTATACTAAACTATATACATCTATCTATTAAGGATTAAAAGTAAAAGGATTTAGACTTTCTTTAGACTTCATACATAAGTGTGGTCATTTTTCTGTTTTTCGAGACAGTGTTTTTCTGTGTAGCTCTGGCTGTCCTGGAACTCATTCTGTAGACCAGGCTGGCCTTGAACTCACAGAGATCCACCTGCCTTTGCCTCCTGAGTGCTGGGATTAAAGGTGTGTGCCACCACTGCCCAGCATGTTGTCTTGCTTTTGAAGGAGGCTCTCACTATGTAGTCCAGCTTAGCAAGTTCAATTTACAATTCTGTTGCCTCAGCCTCCCTAGAGCTAAGATTACAGGCACATGTCACCATGCCTGGCTCCATAAGCCTCAGCTGCTGCCATCCTGGCTCCGGAACACTTCTGTAGAAAGAACAATATTTCTGTCCTTGTTCTTTTAAGGTGGAGTCTTTATTACCCAGGCTGCTCCTGAGTTCCTGGGCACAATCCTCCTACCTTTCAGGTAGCTGAAGTTACAAGGGCTTATGGCTTCTCAATGCCTGCTGTGTGTGTGTGTGTGTGTGTGTACATTTTTCATTGTTTAAATGCAAGAGATCATACCAGAGCCTTGTCCATGCTAGGCAACCAGTAACCAGTGTACTACATCCCAAGCCAACAAATAAGCTTTTACAAATCAAGTTCTATCCCGTGGGTATGGCGGCAGAAGCCTGTAATCCCAGCACGTGTGAAGCAGAGGCAGGAGGGTTGATGCAAGTCTGAGTCCACTTGTCCTACAAAACAAGTTCCGGGCCAGCCAGAGGTGTATATATATATATAGAGAGAGAGACGCTGTTTCAAAAATAATCATGATAATAAAAAATAAGACAAAGTAAATTATCAAGTAACTCTGCTGTAGAACAAAAGGGCTCTGAACGCTGGCTCGGCTGGACCCAAGTAGCAATAAATGGATAGAGGTGGAGATGAGTGGGGTAGACACTGTAAGGCTATAGATGGCCTCGTCACAAAACATCCACAGGGGCCAGGCATTAGAGGCACGTGCCTTTAATCCCAGCACTCAGGAGGCAGAGGCAGGGGGATATCTGTGAGTTTAGGCAAGTCAGGACTACAGAGCTAGTTCCAGGAAAATCAGAGCTACATGGAGAAACTTGGTCTTGAAAAAAGAAAAACAAAACCCCTCCCAGGAAGAGTAGTGGGAGGAAGGCTGGGAAGCAATGGAACAAGCCATGGCTTATGACTGTCAGCATGGAGTGTCTGAGAAAGAACGAGCCACAGGAGAGACAGGCCCCAGGCTCCTTGGGAGGACCGGCTCCTCCAACCGAGGCAGCAGGAGCCGAGACAGTGGCAGCCAACTGATGGAAGCTAAGTGCTACCTGTAAACTCAAGAGAACGAGAGCTTCTTGAGTTTGTAAACTTGCCCTCGTAAATACAGTCCTCAAAACAGAACTCAGTGCATTCTTCAGCGAGTCTTTCCAACAGCGACACAGGAACCAGCGCTATTAAACAGGAGTGTACCACATGCCATTCTCCACAGCAACGGCACTGCGAGAGCGGGGATCCAAGGAGAGGAGCCGGTGCCGTGCAGCTGTGCCCTCAGGAGCGGAGGAGCAGCTTACTGAGGATTACGTCATAGTAAGGGCAGAACACCATCTTGTTATAGTTGACCAGGCGCACAAATTTCACTGCAACTTCTTCCAGCTCTTTCTGAATGGGACCCAATCCCCCTGGCACTGTAGACAACAGCTTCTGATGACCAGAGGCAAGGTATGTCTCCAAGAAGGTAAAAACTCGGGACTCTGTGGTGGAAAGAAGAGTGATCAGGGGTGTCTCCTTCAGGGTGACACTGTACACGTCCGATTCGGTGCCAGTTACTTTAGTCATCACTTTCTGGAGGAGGCCTTTCCTAGTCACCCCAGATCAGATGTGCAGAACTTTGCAGTTCAGCGGGGAAGAACACATATATGCACACAGGGAGTCTGCAGCATTGGCCTGCTCTGCTCTCAGAGGAGCAGGCCCCTGAGGCTAACACTGGCCATGGCCACAGGGCACACACGCACAAAGAAAGGAAAGTAAGGCAGGAACAAGTTCGAATCTGGGGCTGGAGAGATGGCTTGCCCTAAGAGCACTGGCCTCTGAACACACACACACACACACACACACACACAAATAAATCTAGGCTGGGCATGGCAGCACATGCCTTTAATACCAGCAGAGGTAGATGGATCTCTGTGAGTTAAAGGCCAGCCAGACCTACAGAGACCTTGTCTCAATAAACAAACAGAATCTCAGAAAAAAATGGTTCGGAAAAAGGAAAGAGGGTTGAATGTGCACCTCCATGGTGGAGTGCATGGCCCTGAGTTCAATTTCCATAACTGAAAAGGTCAGAAGGAAAGAGAAGGACGAGTCCTGTCCCACCACCTCATGCTCTGTCTTTCATGGCTCAGCATAGGCTTCCTTCTTTGATGCTCACAGTGGAAGACCAGAGCAGTCATCTCGTTGATACTGTTTAGCCATTCTAGAGACATGAATGAATTTTTCAAACTGCCTGCCCTGCCTTCTGAACTGGGGTACACTCTCAAGTACAAACTGGTACCTTTGGACCCACAAACAAAAAGCACACTGACAGCTGGGTCCTACCCCTCTCCATTCCTAAAGGGATCTGGATCTGGTTCTCCTGAAGTTCCCAGTGCTGGAAGCCCATCCGGAAGTGGAGGTCTGTTGTGGAATATTACTTTAACTAGGCAAAGATGTGTTACATTTGTGTATGCTGCATTTGTTTAATAATATAAAGATACGTTCCTTTGCCTGCCTAAGGCACCTGACTGGTCTAATCAAAAGCTGAATGGCCAGTAGCTAGGCAGTAGAGGGATAGGTGTGGCTGGCAGGCAGAGAGAATAAGTAGGAGGAATCTAGGCTCGAGGGAATAGAGAGAGAATGAGGGAGAATGAGAGGGAGACACCGTGGACCAGCCAGTCAGGCAGCCACCGGACAGACAGACATGGAGTAGGACATACAGAAGGAAAGAAAAGTAAAAAGCCCTGAGTAAAAAGGTAGATGAGGAGAAACACAGGTTAAATTAAGTTATAAGAGCTAATGGGACAAGCATAAGACAAGGCTGAGAACTCATAACTGACAGTAAGTCTCTGTGTCTTTGTTTGGGAGCTGGTTGGTGGCCCCAAAGAGAGTCTGCGGCAGAGGTCTTGTGTCACTCCTGCCAGGACTGTGTCTGTAACTGGCACTACCATCAGGAAGCACGTGACATGGTGAGACCTGAGCAGCATGGAGGCTTCAGGCTGTTCAAAGGCCTTCCCTGGTTGAGTACAGATCTCTATGATTTGCAGAAGCCTCCTCCTCAATGAGCCACAGGTTAAACTGTGGCTAATGCAGGGCTGGGATAAAGCAGGCTCGAAAAGAACTGTCTTAGCTTTTTAAAAATCCACACTATTCATTTTGTAACAAGGATCTGAGTCGAGGCCTGTGACACTGAAGTCAGAACCTTTGAGATAATTGTGGCTTCTGTCCTTGCCTGTCCTCTTGGTCAGCCTCTCACACTGGTGACGAACTACTCAGAACTACTCATGGGCCATCAACCCTCTCAGACTGTTGCTGTAGCTGTCATTGGTTGTTCTGAGACACGGTCTCACTATGGGGCTCTGGCTTACTATGTAGACCAGGCTGGCCTTGAACTCACAAAGCTCCTCTTGCCTCTATCTCCTGAGTGCTGAGTTAAAGGCCTATACCATATGCCCAGCCCTTTCAGTTTTCTTCTGAGGGCTTGTCCTCTAGCCCCTCTCTCCTGGTTACCTTTTTTTTTTTCCTGTCAACACAAGCTAAGGTCTTCTTGGAAGAGGAGCCTCAGTTGGGAAAATACCTCTATCAGAATGCCTGCAGGCAGGACTGGGGGCGTTTGCTTCTCTCTCTCTCTCTCTCTCTCTCTCTCTCTCTCTCTCTCTCTCTCTCTCGCTCGCTCGCTCTGTCTCTCTCGCTCTCTCGCTCTCTCGCTCTCTCCTCAAGACAGGGTTTCCCTGTGCAGTCCTGGCTGTCCTGGGTCTCCGTACCAAGCTAGTCTCAAACTCAGAGATCACCTGCCTCTGCTTCCCAAGTGCTAGGATTAACGGCGCACCACCACACCTGGCCGGCCATTTTAGTGATTAACGACTGATGTGGGATACCCCAGCAAACTGTGAGTGGGGCCACGCTGAGAGGCCTTCTTGAGCTATATAAGAAAGCAGGCTGAGCAAGCCAATACACAACATTCCTCCATGGCGTTTACTTCAGTCCCTGCCTCGAGTTCCTGTCCTGACTTCCCTCCGTGATGGAGTGTGACCTGATAATTCTAAGATGAACTAGATCCCCTCCTCTCCAAGTTGCTTTTGGTCATGGTGTTTCATTACAGCAACAGAAAGTAACTAAGACACCCTCTGAGAGACTGTTCCCCAAACATACCCACAATCCTGCGAATGGGGTCGTCAGGACTGGCCAGGGCCTGAACCTGGCCCTTGAGGACAGTCTCCTTGTTGATGGAGAATGGGGATGATCCACACAGGGAGAGGCAGCTGCTCACCTCCAGGCACACCTTCTCCCCAATGGAAGTCAGAGCATCCTCCAGACGGAAGGAACTAGAACAGAGAAGGGAAAGGGAGCCGGAACAAAGGCCTCAGGAATACAAAGTCACATGCCCTGTCCCGCACTGAGTTTTGTGGGGACTTGTGGCTTTCTTCCCTGCTCCCTCACCTCCTAGGCTGTGCATCATACCAAGATGATTTTTTTGTTTGTTGACAGGGTCTCATGTAGCTCAGGCTGGTCTACAACTCATTATGCAGCTGAGGATAACCTTGAACTTTGGATGCGCCTGCCTCTACTTCCCAAGTGCTGGGATTAGAGCTGTGTGCTACCACACCCGATCTATAAAACCTGAGGATGAGGGCTCCGTGCATGTTACACACATACATGGTAGGTGTGCACTCATCAACAGAGCTACATCCCCAGGCCTCAGGGCACAATGTCTCGCTCATGCCAGAGTAACCTTGGGACTAACTTCTATCTTCAAACACCTCCAGAGGAACACATAGAAACCAGAAATTTGGTAGCTATGAGACAAGAGTGGGGGAGATAAAACCCTTTTCATTGAGTACTCCTTTGTTTCTTCGTTTCTTTTTACCATGCTGGAGATCAAGCCCCAGACCTCAATTCATGGTAAGCACTTTGCCTACTGAGTATATCCCCACCCTCTGCAGCTGCTCTGGTTTGGTTTGGTTTTTGAGACAGGATCTCAGGTAGCCAAGGCTAGCCATGAATTCCTGGTCCTCCTGTTTTACCTTTCAGGTGCTGGGATCACAAGTATTCGCCACCATGACCAGCTTACATTAGATATTTTTAGAAGAAGACAATCCAAAAGAGAAAAGGAATATTCTTGATCCCTTGGGAAGAGCCGTGAGACAGCCTCCTGCTGGGAGGGCCCCATGAGAATGCCTTCTTTTCAGCTGTTTCACTCACAGCTGCTGCTTAGTGGCTGTTCACTCCGTGTGACTGCAAAGCAGTGGTCTTCTGGGTCTAGAGCCTCTGTACTATAGCACTTCTGGGAAGTAAGGGCGCAAGGCCCAGGACTCACTGCTGGTGCTGCTCCGTACAGCCGAGCAGCCAGGGCTCCCAGGAAGTCTGCACTGGCAGGAAACGGAGGGGACGGCCAAAGGCTGAACCTGGGTAATAGCATCAGCATAGGCCTCAGATCAGCAGCATCTTTGGCTGAGTCAACCACTTGTCACAGTGTGCGAATATGGCCCAGATGGCACTGGCCACACCCACCGACTGTACAAACTCCGCAGTACAATCCTTTTGTAAGGATGATGTCATGGTCAGCCAAGCAGTGGTGGTGGTGGTGGTGGTGGTGGTGGTGCACACCTTTAATCCCAGCACTCAGGAGGCAGAGGCAGGCTGATCTCAGTGAGTCTGAGGCCAGCCTGGTCTACAGAGTTCCAAGACAGCCAGGGCTACCCAGAGAAACCCTGTCTCAAAAAACAAAAACAAACAACAAAGAATGGCCTCCATAGACTCTTATTTGAATGCTTAAGGAGTGGCATTAGGAGGTGGGGCCTTGTTGGAGTGGGTGTGGCCTTGTTGGAGGAATTGTGTCACTGGTGGTGGGCTTTGAGGTCTCAAATGCTCAAGCCAGGCCCAGTGGCTCCCGCTCTTCCTGCTGCCTATGGATCCAGATGTAGAACTCTTGGCTCCTTCTACAGCACCACGTCTGCCTGCATGCTACCATGCTTCCCCCAACCCCATGATGACAATGGACTAAACCTCGGAACTGTAAGGCAGCCCCAACTAAATGCTTTCCTTTATAAGAATTGCCACAGTCATGGTGTCTCTTCCCACAGTAGAAACCCTGACTTAGACAGATGAGAAGGTCAGGGTGGGGGTGCATGGGGCCTTGTCAGACACAGGCCTTACTAAAACTATTCAGACCCACCCTATGTGCCATGAATCATGGGAGCCATGTACTGGCCGTATGGAGGCAGCAGCTGCTGGAGACTTCACAATGTGAGATTTGATACATGATGAAATGACACACTGGTGGCAGGCCCAAGATGTCTATGAGGTATGTGCAAAGGGCAGGGAGTTAATGTTATGGGTGCTCCCTGGAGGGGCGAAGTTTGTTTCTTCTGTGATCTTTCTCACCCAAGAGCCACAGCTGGAGCAACTGGCTGTCCTGGGGGCCAAGGCACAGGTTACATTGGTGGATTTCACAGCTAGTTGGTCGTGAAAGCAATTCGGTAATGGAAGGCAGTGGGGTGTTTTGTTGGTTGATTGGTAAGTAAGACTAGGTTAGAAAAAAGAGGTTAAACATAGGGTAAGTCCCACCTCGGGGGGTGTGGGGGGTGTCTATTGCAGTTCCACATGCGTTAGTGTACTGGGCACAGTAGAAACTGAATCGCTCATTGTGGACCCTGAGCAGACATTTGAAAACCACCGTCTTAGAGCCTTGTTAAGTTTACAGTTCCCTTGACTTGGACATGACAGCCATGCCTAAACTGCAGGGAGGTAAAGTCTTTTCAATGCTCCTAAAGGCCTTACACTGGCAAACTCCCACGGTACACCACAATTCCATCCACTGTAGAGCCCCAGCCACTTACGGCAGACGCATGTCCATTAGCAGAATCTTCACCGTCATCTTGAGTTTCTCAGCAAAGTCAGAGTGCCCAGAAATCCCAGGTGCGGCGGTGCTGAGTGTGACGAGCAGCACAGACCCCAGGATGACCAGCTGCTCCAGCTGCAACTGAAGTTCTTGGAAACGAGACTGGTCCATCAAAACGGTCTGCAATGAAGATACACGTCACTGCCGAGCAGAGACTCAAGCTGGCCAGCAGAGGGCAGTGGCGCCACACCTCCACCTGCCCTGGGGCGCCCTTTCAGATTTCCCGGATTCCTTTCAGAGCTGGTAGAGCTGTAAGCATCAGCTGAGGCAGGCCTAGAGATAAATCCAGACTCTACTCTTTCACAGCAGTGTAACCTCAGGCAAGTCTCCTTTACTCTTTCAGGGTATGCAAAAAGGGGGTTCCTTTTGTACAGCTGCTTGAAAGATGAAAAAACCCAGTGAGCAGGGGAGTGGCTGCGAGCCACAATCTCCGTAGAAGGTACAGCGGTAGGAAGAGAAGGGTAAGAAGATGGAGCTAGAGTGGCCAACAACGCCTTCCCATTGTGTCCCAGATTTAAAAGGGAAGCATCCAAGTCCTGAGACCCCATCTTTTCCCCCCACAAACCAGGAAGTCACCATGCTGACAGAGGGGAGGAATTCCTTGAAGCAGAGCTACAATTATTCACCTTGGTACACACAGCCCAAAGGAGACTCAAGCACTGGACAGGCCGGGTACAGTGGCTCAGCCTACAAACTCCACCCCTCCACCCACCCACAAACACACTCAGAAGGCTGAGTCAGGAGAATTGCTAGGAGTCTAAGGCCACCCTGGGATACACAGTGAGACCCTGTCTCAGAACAACAAACGAACAGTAACAACCACCACCTCAGGTAAGGAGATAAAGAAAACAATAAAAAATGACAGACAGAGCAGAACTGATGACCACACGAAGCCACTTGAAGGTGGACTGCCTCTCATGTTAAAGAACCCAGTCTATAAAAATGTAGGTTTGTGATTCCTTTAAGATTCCTTATAAGATTACCTTTCAATAAGGTAATAAAGTAATCAGCCCTTTCTTTGTAACCACAAGACACAGCGTACCAGTAAAAGACCCGACTGAGAAGAACACCTTGCTTGCCCACACAGTTAATCTATAACAAGTTGCTTGGGTACGAATGTATGTGGGTTCTTGGGATAATTTGTTTTTCACCTATAATATGTAAAATGTTTAATCATGCAAGGGATATGGAAAACATGCTGTTTTTTAACTTGTATTCATTCACTTGAAAAACAGAATGTAACCACATTGTAATTTATATATTGCCTGAAAGATTTTGCTGGGTATATAAGCTGTAAGGGAAATAACAGAGATAGAGTTAAATACAGGGAACATGGGTTAGAAGAAAAACATCAAGAATGAGAGCAGGAAAATAAAGAATAGAGAATGCAAAAGAAGAATAAAGAAAAGATCTGAAGGAAACCATCAAGAGAGTGAGTATCTTTCCCTAACCCCCTCAGATAAAAGTCTAGGACACACAGATGCTGCGGATTTCCCTTTAAGCCCTGAGCTGCCTCGAGGCTGGCCCCCTAGGCATCCATAAGAAACCACTGAATGGTACAAGCTAAGGAGGAATTATATCCATGATCGGTGTAGCATCACTCATAATGACCAAAATATAGACTCGGCCTAGATGCCCATCAACAGAGGAGGGGACAAGGAAAATGTGTTTCATACACACAGGGGCATTTCATTCAGCCATAAAGAATAAAATTAGACTGGCATGTGGCTCACACCTGTAATCCCAGCATTCAGGAAGCATCAGCAGGTAGATCATTGTGAGTTCAAAGCCAGCCTGGACTATGTAGTGAATTCTAGGCCACCCAGGGCTACACAGTAAGACCATCTCTGTGTATCTCAAGGGAGAGAAAGAGACTCAGAAATAAGCACACTCTTCTCTCATAGGCACAATCTACATTGAGGGGTGTGAGTGCGTGTGTGTGTGTGTGTGTGTGTGTGTGTGTGTGTGTGAATGACATAAAAGCCAAAAGGAGACTGTTGAGGGAGGAAGGGGCTTAAAAGGAAAGAGAAAGCTGGGCCTGGTGCGCACATCTTTGATCTCAGCACTAGGAGGCAGAGACAGGCGGATGGCTGGGAGTTCGAGGCTAGTTTGGTCTACAGAGCTAGCTCCAGGACAGCTAAGGGTACATAGGGACCCTTCCTCAAAGGGGGGGGGACAAGAGGGAATAACGGGGAAGGGAAAGACAATACTGCATGTTTTCTCATGTAGAGCATACACACAAATACACACAGAAGGGGGATTACGTGGAGAGAAAGGGGACAAGCAGAAGAGAAAGAAGGGATGATAATAGACGAGTATGAGCAAAGTGCAGGAATATATATGAAAATGTCACAGTGAAACCCAGTATTCTGTACACTGAAACATTCATAAAGAAGTCATCACAACTTCAAATGAAAAGAAGACCTTTTGCTCTGTGATTTATATCAGAATACCATGATTCTTTCAGAAAAGCTGAGCTGCAGGAGACCAAGTATGAATAGTTAAGTGCCAGCAGCACCTACCTCGGGGAAAGGTCTCCGGAAGTGGTCCCATTTTAGAAGCTTCAGGTAGGCATAATTCTGGACAGAAGCAGGGCTCAGCACTGCAGCATCCCCAGAGCCAGCAGCCCCTCCCCCAGCCGGCAGGGCGTGTTTGTACTTCTGAGTCAAAAGGTCATTTGAGGCCTCCTCCAGCCACTGGGTGACAAAGTCCAGGGAGTCTGTGGAAACAGGGCTGCATTCATCACCCTGACACTTGCAGGGACACTTGGAATTACCTTAAGGAAGAGCGGTCCTACAGGGACATCCCGGACAGAGAATGAACTTCGGAATCCACAGAACTCAATCCAGATCACAGTATTGCTCATCGCTAGCTTCATGACCTCAGACAAGTCTATCTGAGTAGAAGATGGTGGTCACGCCTTTAATCCCAGCACTCAGCAGAGGCAGGTGGATCTCTGTGAGTTCGAGGCCAGCCTGGTCTACAAAGTGAGTTTCAGGAAAGCCAGGACTGTTACACAGAGAAACTCTGTCTTGAAAAACAAAGAAATGCAGGACACCTGCTTCCCAGGCAGACAGCTTACTAGCCAGGCCTTGCCCCTGGCTTCTTCCTCTCTTCTCCAGTCTTGACCACTGCATTCGATGTGGCTGGAGCCCACCTGACTACAGTTCTGAGGGATGGTAAAACTTCTGGCCCCCAGACAAACAGGACAAGACACTCGCTTGACTTCCCTGTGTAGCGAAGGTTTACTGAGGGCCGACCGACCAGTCAGGGTTCCACCAGCCTGAGGTGTCTGGTGTGTACTCACTGACTGGGGAGCACTTCCAGTGGGGCCCTCGGTGGCTTTCAATGGTCATTATGCTCCTGCTGCTTTCCTAGGCTGAGTAACACGGCAGGTACCCTCTAACAACATTCTGAGTAAAAAGGGCCCTTGGGACAGTTGCAGCCCTGCAGGAGGCCTCCTTCAAACCACACAGGCAGCTGGGGTTCCAGCAGCTGTCAGCTCTTCCCAGATGCACAAAGTTCTCGATTTGGTCCTGACCACTGAGCCACGTGGCCTCCCCCTGCCTTAGCTTCTAGAGACAGCCTCTCTCTGTGATGTCCAGGCTTTGGAAACCTGGTGGACAAGTACTGGACTCTGATGAGCAGAGAATCTAGGTAGGCTCCTCTTCAGCAATGAAGCCTTCACTGCACCTGAGCTTCTGAGCATGACACTATCCCGCTCTTTAGTCTATGAGGCCGTGTCCCTGGGTGCCTCCTGGCAGGCACCACGGCGCCAGACAGACTGAATGGTGTGTCAGCCAATCTTCTTCCAGTACTTTTACTCTCCTCTATCCACCCCTGGCCCCAAGCATCCACCTGAATTAAACTTTGGGGGCCACTGGATTTAATAACCTGCTCAGGCAACACAATATATTCAGAGATGCCCATTTCCATCTCCTCCTCAGCAAAGCTGTGCTACATGAAATTCATCATACACTGCACCTGAAAGCACCCTAAAAACACACCCTGTCTAGACTCTTCAGTCAGCCGTTTACCTGCAGTCATCCGAGGCTTGTGAAAATGCCCTTTTCCTCCCAGCACTTGGGGAGGCGAAGACGGAACACTGCCATAGTTGAAGGCCAGCCTGCATTTCACAGAGAGCACCGGGCCAACCTGGACTGCAGAGCAAGACCCGCTCTCCAAAACAAAACTAAAGCCAGGTGTGGTGCTGCATGCCTTTAATCCCGGTACTTGAAAGGCAGTGGTGCAGGCTAGCCAGGGCTACATAATATTTGAGACCCTGTCTCAAAAACAAAGAAACAAACAACAACAGAAAGTAAAAACTGGCATTTCCTGGTTGTGAAAACAGATTTCTGCATGGAAGAAAGAAGTTAGTGAAGTTCCCTGCTGTTCCCATAAGCAGAGAAAAGTGAATTAAAAGAGATTTGTCATGATTTTATAAAATATAATTTTAATAAATTATATTTCAAGACCCGAAATATAATTTAACTGAAACTGGGTATTTTCCTTGGAGGAAAATATTTAATCTAGTAATCTTCATTCTTTTCATTTTTACTCTCCTGGTCTACCCACACAGCTCGTTTGTCAGTTGATTTATTTCTTATTATCTTGGTTTTGATACTTGACAGCATCCCACACTTTCCTTCTTCCAGTTACTCCAGTCTGAATTAGAAACAGTCGGTGGCTTTCTGGGGTATTTCTGATTTTGGTTTGTTTTTCTGTTTTTGTTTTTGTTTTTTCAAGACAGAGTTTCTGTGTGTAGTCCTGGCTGTCCTGGAACTCACTCTGTATACAAGGCTGGCCTCAGACTCAGAGATCTGCCTGCCTCTGCCTCCCGAGTGCTGTGATCAAAGGTTACGCCAGCACCCGGCTCAGTTGTTGGCTTTTAGGTAATAACGAGCTACAGAAGCTAAAATAGAACACAAAAGCCAACAATGAAAGGTGCAATGGAGTATTCAACTTACTCGGTTGCTTCTCTAACACCTCCTGAAATTTCTTCCTCTCATAATCAACCGATTGCTGCATGAGGTGTGGTCTAATGCTAGTGATAGCAAAGTTGGCCATGTCTACTTTCATTAGGTCCAACACAGAAAAGATTGCCCTGAAAAAAGAGAAAAGATTTAGAAGCGGGCAATAGTGACATAAGCATAGCTTAAGGGAAAAGTAAATGGAAGTTTCCTGTCCCGACCACCAGGTCCCACATGAGTGACTCAGAAGCTGAATATAAATTATAAATGCTTGGCCGATAGCTCAGGCTTGTTACTAGCTAACTCTTTTTACTTTTTTTTAAAAGATTTATTTTTTTCATTATGTATACAGTGTTCTGTATGCCTGCACACCAGAAGAGGGCACCAGATCTCATTATAGGTGGTTGTGAGTCACCATGTGGTTGCTGGGAATTGAACTCAGGACCTCTGAAAGAGCAGCCAGTGTGCTCTTAACCTCTGAGCCATCTCTCCAGCTCCACTAACTAACTCTTACACTTAAATTAGCCCATATTTCTACTTATCCTTTGCCACATGGCTCATGGCTTGTTACCTCATTTTTTACACGTCCTGCTTGCTTGGCGGCTGGCTGGCATCTCTGACTCCGCTCTCCTTCTTCCCATCATTCTCAGTTTGGCTTTCCCGCCTAACTTCCTGCCCAGCTACTGGCCTGTCAGCTTTTTATTAACCAATGAGAGTAATACATATTCATAGGGTAGAAAAGGATTGTTCCACAGCAGAAAAGAGATACGTGTTTCATCTTAGAAAGGGCAGCAAAAGAAATCTGGAAAATCATGAGAAAAATGGATTAAGAAAATGAATTTGGGGAACTGGTAGATGGCTCAGTGGTGAAGAGTACTTCCTGTTCTTCCAGAGGACCTGTGCCAGCTAGTCTTATGTCAACTTGACACAAACTAGAGCCATCAGAGATAAGGGAGCCTCAGTTAAGAAAATGCCTTCATTAAGACTTGTAGATAGATTTTTTTCTTTGGGCCTCCAGCTCACAAAAAAAAATGACATGGAGATAATTATTATTAATTATGAAAGCTCTGCCTTAGCATAGGCTTGTTTCTAACTAGCTCTTAAACTTAAATTAATCCATGTTTTTAATCTATGTTCTTCCACACACTCATTACCTCATCTTCATTATGCCCATCCTGTTTCTTCTGCATCTGGGTGGCGACTCTGTTTTCTTCTTCCCAGAGTGCTCTCTGTCCAGAAGTCCCTGCTATACTTCCTGCCTAGCTATTGGCTTTTTATTAAACCAATCAGTGATACATCTTCACACAGTGTAAAGGAATATTCCACAACAAAGATGAAGCTGTAGGCAAGCCTGTAGGGCATTTTCTTTTCTTTTTTTTTTTTTTTTTTTTGTTTTTTGGAGACAGGGTTTCTCTGTGTAGCTTTGCGCCTTTCCTGGGACTCACTTGGTAGCCCAGGCTGGCCTCGAACTCACAGAGATCCGCCTGGCTCTGCCTCCCGAGTGCTGGGATTAAAGGCGTGCGCCACCACCGCCCGGCTGGCATTTTCTTAATTAGTGATTGATGTGGAAGAGCTCAGCCCATTGAGGGTGGGGCCATCCCTGGGATGGTGGTCCCGGGTCTGTAAGAAAACAGGTTAAACACGCCATAGGAAGCAAGCCAGTGAGCAGCATCCTACTACGGCCTCTAGATCAGCTCCTACTTCCAGGTTCCTGCCCCTGCTGGAGTTCCTGTCTCCACTGGTTTTTTTTGTTTGTTTGTTTGTTTGTTTTTGTTTTGTTTTGTTTTTTTTTTTTTTTTTTTAGGTTTTTCGAGACAGGGTTTCTCTGTGTAGCTTTGCGCCTTTCCTGGAACTCACTTGGTAGCCCAGGCTGGCCTCGAACTCACAGTGACCCGCCTGTCTCTGCCTCCCGAGTGCTGGGATTAAAGGTGTGCGCCACCACCGCCCGGCTTCCACTGTTTTTGATGATGAACTATTATATGGAAGTTTATATGGAAGTGTGAGTGAAATAAACCCTTTCCTCCTCAAGTTGCTTTTGGTCATGGTGTTTCATCAAAGCAATAGTAATCCTAACTAAGACAAATTGTTACCAAGATCATGGGGTATTGCTGGGACAGACCTGACCATGTTGTTTTAGGAGGATTGTGGAAGGACTTTGGAACTTAGGGCTAGAAAAGCCATTGAGTGTTCAAAGCTTAGCGACCTTTCCTATGGGAGCTTGGAAGACAAGAATGTTGAGAGCAGTGCAGATGGCAGACGGAGGCCTGGCTCGTGGAGTTCCAGAGGGACGTTTGAGAGTCACTTAAACTTAGAGAGTCACTCTATCAAGGCTGTTTGCTATTTTGAGTTGACAAACTGTGGTTCTGGTTAGCTGGGGCAGAAGAATCAGCTGTGACTAACAGGAGACCAGAATCACTGAAGTAAACCTTTGCTTTCCTGGGACAATTGATGCTGGTCAGCGGGAGCCAAGGAATTGGTGGTGATGAAGAGGAGACCAGCAGCACTGAGGTGCCATCTTCTGGGAAGTGTCTCCTCAGTCAGCACACAGAAGCTGTGTTCCAGAGGTGGCCAAGGTTGTCCCTGGACTGCCAGTTGAACTTGGTGATGTACAAAAGTCACCCAGGTTGTGCTGGTTTTGAAGGCATGAAGGAGTCATGGATAGCAGCTGAAGCTTGGCACCGGGAGAGGCCACTGGTGAAGGTGTGGCCAGAATGGAAGGGAAGACCAAAAGTTGAAGGGGCCATGGAGAGAAACTGAGGCTTGGCACCATCAGGAGAGCCCAGGAGACACTCTTGGTGAAAGTGCAGCCCAGTTGCAGCAGAAGATTTTGGAGATGCCAGTACCACGAGACAACCGCCAAAAACAGCAGCAGCCGCGGAGGAGTGGAGCCAGCCTGAGCCTCAAACATGAGTTGTGAGTGCAGCAGAGGGCGGAGTCTGAGAAAGGCCCAGGCCCTCTGGAGGAGCCCAAAACATGAGGGAATCCCAGATATTGGACGCTGAACGATGTACACAGGGGGAGTTTGGTTTTGCTTTGATCTATTTGTGATTGTGCCCTGGTTCTTCCCTCTTGAAGCAAAAGAGCATTTAACTTAACTTTGGTTTTGTAAGAGCCCACAGTTGAGAGACTTTGAGTTTTTTTAAACAGATTTTGGATTTTCAGAGATTGGATATTTTAAAGAGACTGAACTTTTTTTGTTTGTTTTGTTCTTTCAAGACAGGGTTTCTTTGCATAGCTCTGGCTATCCTGGAACTTATCTGTAGACCAGGCTGGCCTCGAACTTAGATCCACCTGACTCTGCCTCCCAAGTGCTGGGATCAAAGGAATGCACCACTACCACCTGGCTGATGAGACTGAACTTTTTTTTTTTTTTTTTAAGATTTATTTATTTATGTATACAGTGTTCTGTCTGCATGTATGCCTACAGGCCAGAAGAGGGCACCAGATCTCATTACAGATGGTTGTGAGCCACCATGTGGGTGCTGGAAATTGAACTCAGGACCTTTAGAAGAACAGCCAGTTCTTAACCTCTGAGCCATCTCTCCAGCCCCGAGACTGAACTTTTAACATGTTTAAATTTGTAAAGCCATGGAACTTTTAAAGTTATTTACGTTTTCCATTATAATATTAATATGATTGTGCCATTTTGCACATACATGAGAAAGAAATGGTTCTAACAGAAAAGCGATGTTTGTGTGTCAAGCTGTGCTGGCTAGTTTTATGTCAACTTGACACAAACTAGAATCATCAGAGGAAGGACCTTAGTTCAGTTCCCAGCACCTAGGTTGGGTAGCTCTCTGGCCTCCTCAGGCATCTGCACTACATGCATATACCCACAGACAGACAAACAGACATAAATATAATTAAAAAGAAAGTAACAATCTTTTCTAAAAAGTAAAACAAATTTGGAAAACAAACACTTAACTAATGGCTTCAAAGACTGCAAAATTTGCCTGGCAGTGATGGTGCACACCTTTAATCCCGGCACTCAGGAGGCAGAGCCAGGAGGATCTCTGTGAGTTCAAGGCCAGCCTGGTCTACAGAGCGAGATCCAGGACAGCCTAGACTACACAAAGAAACCCTACCTGAAAAAAAAAAAGTGCAAACGTCAAGGTGCTTTGCAGCCCCTCAGCCTCTACTCCTCACTGGACACCGCCTTTGCAGGCCAGAGCGTGCTCCTTGGCTCTGGGTCAGCCCTCCTGGCAGCAGAGGAAGGACCGGGTCTTGACCTGAGCTGCAGCTCCTTGGTGGTTGTGCTTACATAGGAGTCACTTTCTAAGCAAAGAATGAAAATCAGCCAGGCGAGGTGGCACACGCCTTTAGTCCCAGCACTCTGAAGGCAGAGGCAGGAGGATCTCAGTGAGTTTGAGGCCAGCCTGGTCTACATATCAAGTTCCAGAAAAGCCAGAACTACACAGAGAGACCTGTTTCAAACAAAATGAAGAACAAAAATTAACTTTCTCCTTTCTTCCTCCCTCTTTCCCCTGTTTCTCTGTGTTTTAAGAGGTATTTTATGCTCTAGTTCAGTGGTATAATTGCTAGTTCACACTCCGTACCCAAAGACAAACTCCTGGCCTGCTTCTGAGAGTACCTTCCATCCTGCCTGGCCTATACCATGACTAAGGACAGCTAAGTGCCCACCTGCAGGAGGTAAGAATCCAAGTTAAGAACCCAAGGCTTAGGGGCTTGAGAGATGGCTCAGCAGTTAAAAGCACTGGCTATTCTTCCAGAAGACTCAGGTTCAATTCCCAGCACCCACATGGCACCTCACAACTGTCTGTAACTCCAGTCCCAGAGAATCTGACACCCTCATGCAGGCAAAACACTAAAGCACATTTAAGAAAAAAAAAAAAAAAAAAAAGAACCCAAGGCTTGCTGGACACAGTGGTGCACACCTTTAATCCCAGCACTCAAGAGGCAGAAACACTTGGATCTCTGCGAGTTTGAGGCCAGCTTGGTCTACAAATTGATTTCCAGGACAGCCAGGACTACAAAGAAAAATCCTATCTCAAAAAAAGGAAGGAGGAAAAAAAAAAAAGAAGAACCCAAGGCTCGGGTGTAGATGTGGCCCTGCACAAAAGCAGGAATAGGATCAAATGTGCTCCCAGGCCCATGGCCCTTCAGAACCACAGCCTTCCTCTCAATGTACAGGAAAGGATGCATCTGGAGCCTTCCCCCTGCTCCTCTGTCCAGCTCACAAATCCACAGCAGACTACTTGTCCTGGAAATAGTCCTGGCAGTTCTCTAAGGCCACCCACAGGGAAGCAAAGGCCATCAGAAACTGCCCATGGGCGGCTGCTGACTTACAGTAACCCCAAACTGCTCATACAGTGCTTTCAAAAACCAGGGGGCTGGAGAAATGGCTCAGAGGTTAAGAGCACTGCTGCTCTTCCAGAGGTCTTGAGCTCAATTCCCAGCAACCACATGGTAGCTCACAACCATCTAAATGAACTAAGTAAATCTTTTAAAAAAACTTCAAAACAAAACAAAATGAACAAACAAACAGATCTCCCAACTTCTCTTTATAAAAGTCAAAAGATTGGACAACCTGGTCATCACAGTCACAACCAGCTGGAACTGCTATCTCCCTTGTTTATTTTATTCTTCATTCATTCATCTATTCATTCATTCATTTTAAGACAGTATCTCACTATGTTCCCCAAACTAGATTTGAACTCAAGATTCTACCTTAGCGCCTTAGTCCCTGGAGAAACAGTGACTGTGAGTGGGAGAATTCCGACATGTCTGTGTTTAGAGGTTTGTTTTAGAAACATTTTTGAAATGACTGAGTCCCTAGACTTGAAGTGTAATCTGCAAGCCGGCTTGCGGCCAGGTGCACTGTGATGGACACATTCCATACCTGAAAAGAGGCACTATTTCCTTAATGTCCTTTAGCTTTTCAACTTCCTCATCACGAGCAGGTGCACACAATGTCCCCATCATGCCAATAATGAATTCTGCCAGCTTGGCAATGTCTAGGGCCCCGTTCTCTGCTTCCTGTTTAATCAGTTCCAGATCCAAGACCTCGGTTATCTGGTCCCTTAGTCTAGTGTGACCAGGCAGCAAGAAAGACAGCAGGGTCTACAAGAGAGCACAGCTAAGTTCAGTCAGTTTCTTAGTCAGGCATCATCTTTATTGTGCACAAAAGAATTGATAACTATTCAAAAGTAAAGGATCACCAACTGCTCTCATGACACTGCACATATTTTTAGCCTCTTACTTAACAAATCTACAGACAAACATGCATATGAATCATTTAGCTATTTAAGCCTTGTTCATATTCTAGCAATTGCTTGGATGCAAGAAAAAACTGGGAGTTTGTGGGTTGGTTTGTGTTTGTCCTTTGAGGCAGGGTCTTGCTGTGCGGTTCAATCTGGCTACAAGCTAGAGACCCTTCTGCCTCAGCACACCAAGTGCTAGGATCATGGGTATGTATCACCACGTGTGGCTAAAAATGATTAGTGAGAAGTGAAGGAGAGGACAGTTGCTATGGAGCCTGTGAGCCAAGCACTGCTTCCTATTTTCCCAGCTAGTTCTTCAGCGAGTGGTAAAGCCACTGCAGAAAAGTCCTTCCACCTATGGCCTTCTCGGCCCCAAGGCACAATCACTTTTTGGCCAACATAAACTTAATGTGTCCATACCTATTAAAAATTTATACTCTAGGGCTGGAGAGATGGCTCAGAGGTTAAGAGCACTGACTGCTCTTCCAGAGGTCCTGAGTTCAATTCCCAGCAACCACATGGTGGCTCACAACCATCTGTAATGAGATCTGGTGCCCTCTTCTGTATACATAATAAATAAATAAATAAATAAATTTTTTTTAAAAAAATTCATACTCTATATTTCATAATGTAAGTTTTGTTGTCTCTGAGTAATGAACATTTTCTTTGTTGTACAAAAGTAGTGCCTTTGGGGGCTGGAGAGATGGCTCAGAGGTTAAGAGCACTGACTGCTCTTTCAGAGGTCCTGAGTTCAATTCCCAGCAACCACATGGTGGCTCACAACAATCTGTAATGAGATCTGGTGCCCTCTTGGTTGAAATTTTTTTTAAAGGGTCAGTGGTGCTAAATCATAAGTACTCAATCCAAATTCCTTCAAATAACGTAACTTTATGACCCTCAATCTCTTTAGAGTCTTCTGGCATAGTAACACAGGCTGAATGAACAATCCCTAAACACAATTCATTCTCTGCCTTACCTCTTTGATCTCTCCTACAAGTTTGATGGCATGGTCATATGTTGGGGGGTCTTCACTTAGCTGGACACTCAAGCAATCCCAGAATGCTTTATGTACAATCTCCTTTACTCTTTTCTCCAAGCTGAAGACAACAAGGAAAAATAGAAAGACAAATAAATATAATAGTATATATATGCATATATGTCTATGAGTTTAAATCATTTTCAAAGTCATAAATTCTATGGCTGTAGGGTAACAAATCTTCAAAACCATAGGAACCAAGGAAAGACATCCCGGACATAAGAGTAGATTTCACATCACTTATTGGCAACATGAATCCAGTGACCAGCATATACTGATGCCTGCCATAAGGAGAACAGACTAGAGGCCGCAGAGATGGCTCAGTGGCTAAGAGCATTAATTGCTCTTGCAGAGGATGTGGATTTACTTCTCAGCACCCACATGGCAGCTCACAACCATCCAGACATATAACTCCAGTTCCAAGATCCAACACCCTCTTCTGACCTCTGTGGGCACCAGGCATGCACACAGTGCACAAACATACGTGCAGGAAAAGCCACTCATACACATAAAATTTAAAATTTTAAATTTCTTAAAGACTGGAAAATTCAGAGTTGCTAATTTTATTTTCTCTGACCTCAGCAAGTTCCTATGATACATATATGTGACATATATGTGAATATAGGTTCCCACAGAGGCCAGAGGCAATAGATGCCCCTGGAATGAAGTTACAGGTGGTCGTACACTGCCCAATGTGGGCGTGTGGACTTGAACTCAAGTCCTCTTGCAAGAGCAGTAAGTACTCTTGACTACTGAGCCATCTCTCCCGCCTTCAACTTTTATTATTATTGTTTTGTTTTTGCTTTTTGAGATAGGGACTCATATGGCCCTGGCTAGCTTCTAACTTGCTCTGTAGTCGAGGATGACCTTGAACTGATTTCCTGCCTCCACTACCTGAGTGCTGGGATTATGGGCATGAGCCACCTCACCTGGCTCCCTTGTCTTCCCGTAGTTTAGAATCTGGCAAAGCTTGCAAGTTAGATAACAACAACGACACAGTTACAGGAGACGAAGGAAGCAAGGCCCTGGGAAGAATGAAATGGCTAAACCCTAACAGAGAAAGACGGCCCCGGAAGATGTCAGACTCCAGACCCTTTCCTTGTGTCCTGGAGCATCCGTGGCTTTCAGACCCGTGTTCACGACAGTCACTCCTAACTTAGGAATGTTTTCAGCACTGATGTACAAAAGGAAGAATGTACTTGAACACACTAGCATCGAATGAAAAGCCATTCCCAGAACTGGGAAATGCTCTAGTAAACACGTCCACACACGCACCTGCCTTCTGCTAATTCAACGGCATTAATCCGGAAGTCTCCATTGACGACAATTTCGTGGGCTAGAGCCATGTTGGTGACTCCTTTCGCTGTTTCTAGAAGTTCCTCCACAGTGACAAGTCTTGGAGGACTAGCTGTAAGAGAAACCCAGTGGAAGAAGTCCATAAGCTGAAGCCTGTGTGGTAGCTGCAGCGATACCTGTACCCTAACATTTCAAACAACAATAGGGTTAGCTTTTTCTTTTTACCTAGAATCCTAAAATTAACAAGCATTAACATAATACACAAAACATATGGTTCCCACTAAGACTGGAAAATAGTACAGTAAATTGGGATTGAAAACTTAAATTACAGGTTTTTATTGTCCCAATAAACTAAGGTTTATGTTCTGCCTCTGCTAACTCCTGTCTTTCCAAAAGGGAAACTACCAGATTTACAGTCTTGTCTCGCTGTCAGTGATCCGACTCAGGGGGAGAGGGGCCTGCTGCCAGGCCTGCTGATTTGTGTCCATCCCTGGAACCCACATGGTAGACAGACAACTGACTCCTGTATGCTCTCCTGTGACCTCCGCGTGTGTACTGGGCATGTGTGAGTCCATAAACACACACATTCAAACACAAATAAACATATTGTAAAAAGATCTGCTTCCATAAACAACTTACTTTTGTATTAACACTGACATTCAAAATTAAAATAGCATTAAGTCTTAAAGAAGCTTAAATCTGCTACCCTGGAATTCACGAGATGGCTCAGCAAGTAAAGGTGCTTGTGCCCAAGCCTGACGACCTGAGTTCGATCCCTGGGACCCACACGATGAGAGAACCCAACCCACAACTAGTCTTCCAACCTTCACACAGACACACACACACACACACACATACACACACACACACACACACACACACACACACACACACACACGCACACACACACACACACATATACACACACAGAGACACTACACACAGAGACTCTATACACAAACACATAGACCATACAGGCACACACAGACATTATACAGACACACAGAGAGACACACACACCCACATACACTAAATGTTAAAATTTTTAGAAAGGGTTGGGGATTTAGCTCAGTGGTAGAGTGCTTGCCTAGAAAGTGCAAGGCCCTGGGTTTGGTCCTCAGCTCTGGGGGAAAAAAAATTTTTTTTTTTTTGAGCTGAGGATCAAACCCAGGGCCTTGTGCTTGCTAGGCAAGCGCTCTACCACTGAGCTAAATCCCCAACCAAAAAAAAATTTTTTTTTTTTTTTTTTTTTTTTTTTTTTTTTTTGGTTTTTCGAGACAGGGTTTCTCTGTGTAGCTTTGTGCCTTTCCTGGAACTCACTTGGTAGCCCAGGCTGGCCTCGAACTCACAGAGATCCGCCTGGCTCTGCCTCCCGAGAGCTGGGATTAAAGGCGTGAGCCACCACCGCTCGGCTCAAACAAATTTTTTTAAAAAGAAAAAGTTTACCTTAAGCAGGGCATGGCGGTGCATGTCCTACAATTCCAGAACTTGAGAAATAGAAGCAGGAGGATCAGGAGTTCAAGGTCAGTCTCAGCTACATAACAAGTTCAAGGCCAGCCTGGGTTACATATGATAATGTCTCAACATCGAAACCTAGTACAGGATAGAAAGACAGACTATAAGACAGATCTCCGCAGCTTGCCAATGAAGAGCCCTGAAGGTAGGGACACTAGAACTCTACGGTATACATACAGCCCTGCTAAATCGAAGACTGAAGAAGTCAGTAGGCCCCGCCCCCACCACTCTTCCCTGCAAGTCCTGTAGCTTTGGCTCCGGTGCTGACTGCCAATGTCTCAGAGCTGTTCTCCATGCCTTCATCTCTCTCAATACAGCCTGAGGTTCAGCTTCCATATCCAAAGTTCGGGTAAAATTCTCTCCTAGTGTTCTGAACCAAGGAGCAAGGGGGTAAGTTTACTCCTTGGGAGCCGGAGGCCAGGCTTCTCCAGCTTTAAACTACAGGGAAGGGAGGGAGGCTGGCTGCTGGCCCCTTGAAGGGCTTTAGCTTTAGTGTCTGGCACCGGGTCTCAGGCTGCTGCTGACAGTCCAGAGCCCTGAGCTGGAGACTTCATTAGTCTCTGGGATGGTGATAATGATAAGCGATGTCACTGTTTGCCCAGGACTTAACAGATGAAAGGTTCTTAGGTTAGAGAAAATGTTTCCTTCTAACTTTTTTCTTTCCTTTTGCTCCCTGAAAAAGGAACTAAGTCTAAGAGCTGGCCATATCCTGTTTGGTTAAAAAAAAATTTATTAAACTGCATATGGGAAGTTGTGGAACTATTGAGAATTCTTCCTCATAAAATTCTCAGCATTTCCAGAAAATATTAATAAAAATACAAAATAAAAGTAAAATTAATATCACGCATATTAGTAAAATATAAAAATGTCCCAAATAAAGCCTAGATAATATTTTTTCAATTCTTGATATTATGGAGATGTCAATTTTCTCCTAGTAAATCTACTGACTAAACATATTCTAACCAAAATCCCATCAGGTCTTTTTGAAATTTCCCAACTGATTCTGAAATATATATGGAAATGCAAAAGACCCAGAGAGCAAAGACTATTCTGGAAAGAAGTCTGGAAGACTTATGCCGATTACAAGGCTTTTTTCAAATTATGATCATCAAGACTATAGGGTTTTTACATACAGACATATAGATTGACAGAATATAGAAATAGACTCACACACACAGAAACACACTGACACACTCATATGTGTATATATATGTAGTCAGAGGGCAAGCATAATATTTTTAATAAAAAATATTTCTAAAACAGTTAAACCCCTATATACAAAAGAAAAACAGCAAGGCAGTGGTGACACACACCTTTAAACCTAGCACTCAAAAGGCAAAGGCAGGCAGATCTCCGAGGATCTCCAAGTTCGAGGCCAGCCTGGTCTACAGAGTGGTTTCAAGACAGTCAGGAATACAGAGAAAAACCCTGCCTTAAAAAACTAAAAAACCAACAACACTCTGCTAGGTGTTGTGGTACACATCTTTAATCCCAGGACTCAGGAGGCAAAGTCTAGCAAATCAATGTAGGTTCATGGCTAGCCTGGTGAACACAGTGAGTTCCAGGACATCCTAAGCTACATAGAGATACCCTGTCTCAAAAACAAAAACAAAAACAAAAACAAAAACAAGATCAACAATGACATAAAAATTTAAAAAAAGAAGATTCTCAATTCTTTCCTCCATGACAAAAACTAATTCATTGTAAGTTATAAACATAGATGTAACAGCTAAGATGATAAAACTATAAGAGGAAAGAAAATCTTCATGATCTTATATTAAGCAATATGATTTTACAATATAAAAAGCTCAAACTATAAGAGGAAATGATAAATTAGACTTGTATCTAGAACTTGTACTCTGTGAAAGAAGCTATTAGGAACATGGAAAAGTGTACCAGGCATGATGGCACACACCTTTAATCCCAGCACTCAGGAGTCAGAGGCAGGTGGATCATTATGGGTCTGTGGTCAGTTCCAGGACTGCTGTGGAACAATCTTTGTACACTGTAAATAAGCATTACTCTCATTGGTTAATAAAGAGCTGACTGGTCCATAACTAGACAGACAGAGGTTAGGCTGGACTTGCAGACCAAAAGAGAATGTGAAGAAGAAGGGAGGAGTCTCAGGAGTCATGGGGAGATGCAGAGAGAAGCAAGATGAACTTGCCATGTTGGAAAAAGGTACCACCACATAGCTGAGTGTAGATAAGAAATATGGGTTAATTTAAAATGTAGGAGTGGGCTAGAGAGATGACTCAGGGGTTAAGAGCACTGCCTGCTCTTCCAGAAGTCCTGAGTTCAATTCCCAGCAACCACATGGTGGCTCACAACCATCTGTAATGAGATCTGGTGTCCTCTTCTGGCCTGAAGGGATACATGTGGGCAGAACACTGTATACATAATAAATAAATAAGTGTTTAAAAAGTAAAATAAAATAAAATGTAAGAGCTAGTTAGTAACAAGTCTGAGCTATCAGCCGAGCATTTATAATTAATATTAAGTCTCTGTATGGTTATTTGGGAGCTGGCCCTCAGTTCCAATGAAAAACTCTGCCTACAAATGGCATATCAACATGGGGCACCTACATCCACATAAGACCTGAGAAAGCTTTAAAAAGGTTCTAAACACACAAAAATGGAGGCAAACACGGCTTACTAGTCTAGTGTCTCTCATGTCAACAGCAGTACAGAGACATGTCTCCCAGCAGCTGCCTGCGAGATAGAGCCAACTGCCAGCCGCCATGCGCTATCATCATATACTAAACTGAGCAGTGCCAGCAGCTGACATAACAATTTAAGATTCATCTCATGCAATCAAAAAAACAATACAGATGCTCAGACAAATCCAAATGGAAAAAAAACTCTAAACAGGCTACAGTGTGTTTAAAAATATACATAGGCTTGGAAGAGAAAAAAGAAAGAGTATATACGGTCATAGATTTAAAAATAGTTTAAAAATAATAAAGTCTTTAAAAAAGGAGTGAAGTAATAATAATAATAATAATAATAATAATAGTAACCCATGTAAAGATTGGAAATACATAGAAACTTTGAATTATGGAAACTGCTAGATTAAACCAACCTATATATTTTAAAAGTATCTTGACTTCAAAATGGAAGTCAAAAGATATGTTGTTTGGGGGAAGAGGTTATGCTTTTATTTCCACAGGAAATGAGAGGCTATGGATTAATTCCAGGTTGATATGGACATCATGAAATTTGCAGGCAAATGGATGGAACTAGATAAAATCACCCTGAGTGAGGTAACCCAGATCCAGAAACACAAACATGGTATGTACTCACTCATAAGTGGATATTAGATATAAAGCAAAGGATAACCAGGCTACAATCCATAACCACAGAGAAGGTAGATAACAAGGAGGACCCTAAGAGGGACACATAGATTTCTCTGGGAAGGAGAAATAGATTAATAGATTAATCTCCTGGGTAAACTGGGAGCGGGGGGAGGGGGGCAAAGAAACTGCCATTGCTTTAATTGCTGACAGTATACTGTCCAACTGGACCAGCAGGATGCAAAAAAAAGTGACCACCAAACTTTGCCAAGACAAGGGAGGACATTCCTTCAAAATTTCTTGCTTCTCAGAAATGTTTGTCAGATATACTAGGCCTATATGCCAAATATGGATGCCCCAATGTTACAGAACTTTGGGTGACTGGCCAGGCAGCCAGATGTCCCTCTTGTTCTGGACTCTTTGATGGGATTAAAGACTAAATAATTAAAGTTTTCCTTAGTTATGATAAAAGGTAAATTAGGTATAAAACTTTAGACTCACAAAGATAAGGTAAATAATGGAGTATTTTCTCTAATTTTGCCAAATACAAATAGATTTGTATTTGGGTATTATAACTGTAATTCTTACTTGATAACTGTTTTTGTTGTATATAATTTTATTATGTTAAAGTTAAAACCTTCCTTTTTAATTAGACAAAAGGGGGGAATGTTGTGGAACAAGCTTTGTACACTGTAAATATGTATTACTCTCATTGGTTAATAAAGAGCTGACTGGCCTATAGCTGGGCAAGAAGAGATTGGGTGGGAGAGCCAGACTAGGAGGGCTCTGGGAAGAAGAAGGGAGGAGTCTGAGGGTCCAGAGCAAGACACAGAGGAAGGAGGAGATAAATGTATCATACTGAGATAAGGTACTGAACCATGTGGTAGAACATAGATAGAAGTATGGGTTAATTAAATGCTATCAGCCGATCATTTATAATTAATATTAAATCTCTATGTGGTTATTTTTGAGCTTGCCAGCAGTCCTGACAAAAAACCCCACCTACACAGGATAGTCAGGACTATTACACAGAGAAACTATGTCTGGAAAAACAACAACAACAATAACAAAGAACACGGAAGATATGTCACAAGAGAAAACACAGGTAAAGCACTTGACAGAGCACACAGCCAGCTCTATAAGATCTCACAACGCAGTAACAGACAATTACCAACAAGAAGTGGGCAAAAGAGTCAAACACACACTTCTTCAAAGAAGATATACAAAAGCCTAGAAAGTACATGGAAAGATGCTCATTGTCATTAGGGAAATGCAAATTAACCCAGTGTTAGCTGTAAGAACACATCTACTAGCTCCGTCCAGAAGTAGAAAGACTGACCATGCCAAATAAGCTGAAAACTGGCACAAAGGCAGAGTGTCGGGACTCACATGTGGAGTGGGGTATTAAGCAACAGTCAATGTGGTGGGTGTGTGTGTGTGTGTGTGTGTGTGTGTGTGTGTGTGTGTGTGCGCGCGCGCGCGTGCGCGCGCACGTATGAATGAGTTGGGGCCAAAGGTCAGTCCTGGATGTCATTCCCCAGGAGTCATCCATCTTGTTTTTTGAGCCATGTTCTGGAACTTGGAACTTACCAAGTATGCTAGGTGGCCAGCAAACTCTGCAGATCCGGTTGTCTCTGCCTCTTCTGGTCTGAACTATAGACATGTGCCACCTTACCTAGCTGTTTTATGTGGCTTATGGGATGGATTCAAATTCGGGTCCTTAAGCTTGGGCAAAGACTTTACCAATTGATCTATCTCCTCAGGCCTCCTGGTGGTTTCTTATAAAGTAAAACATGTTTACCACATGTCCCAGAAATCCCACTCCTAATCCATTACCCAAGAAAACAGAAAGTAGGGTCATGTAAAGACTTGTGCTCATATATTAATAATCGTATTCACAAAACCTTGACAAATCCAAATATCTATTAATTACAGAAAGATAAAGAAGTTGTGTATCACCACAAATGGAATGTTACTTGGCAAGAAAAGGAACTACTGTTAAATGCAAAACCACAAATTTCAGAAGAATTCTCTCTATTGACAATGTCAGATATAAACAGCCATATTCACTAGAATTCCATTTTAAAAAATATTTTTAAATTAATACATGTGCACTGTGTGTGTACAGATGTGCATGCCTGCACACATATGTGGAAGCTAGAGGATAAGTTATGGGAGATGGTTCTCTCTTTCCATGATGTGAGTTCCAAGGATTGAACTCAAGTCATGAGGCTCGGCAGGGAGCACCTTCCTCACGGAGCCACCACATCAGCCCTAAACTCCATTCATAGGAAGTCAAACCAACAGCAAGACCACACAGAAAGCTGATCAGTGATTACCAAGGGCTGAGGTGGACAGAGATTTGCTGCCAAGTGGCACAAGGAAATTATGGAGTTGATGATGCTATCCTAGCAGCTCAAGGATGTTGTGCAGATATAAATTATAAGGTCATCCAACCATGCTCTCGCTGTCACACATTCCATTTGTAAAGTTCTAAGGCATTCAAGGATTTCAGATATATCTGTGGAGGTGTGTGTGTGTGTGTGTGTGTGTGTGTGTGTGTGTGTGTGTGTGTAAATATATATACACATCTTTTTATATGTTTTGTTTTTGTTTTTTGAGACAGGGTTTCTCTGTGTAACATCTTTGGCTATCCTGGAACTCACTTTGTAGATCAGGCTGGCCTCAAACTCACAGAGATCCTCCTGTCCCTGCCTCCTGAGTGCTGGGATTAAAGTGTGGGCCATCACCACCTGGCTAATTTTTTAAATCTTAAAAAACAAAAAACCACACACACACAAAAAAAACCAATACTTTGGTAGACATATAATTTTATCAATTTATTAAAGATCAAAGAAAATTTGCATACTAATAGATATGCTTATTAAATATTTTATATAATTAATTGAATCTTGGCTGAATAGTTAATACTGAAGTACATACAGCATCTTCAATGTTTTTCAAAGTTGATCAACATTCTGACTTCGTAATTGTTTACACTGAGAACAATGTGTTATATATGTAGTAAAAATAGCAAAAGCACTTTTAGCGTCCTTTAAGAAACTGCTAGAAATTTTGTCCTAATCTAAATTTCAATTATTTTTTAATAATATTCAAACATCAATTTTGTTTGTTTGTTTATTTGTTGTTTTGGTTTTTGGAGACACGGTTTCTCCGTGTTGCCCTGGCTGTCCTGGAACTCACTCTGTAAACCAAGCTGGCCTTGAACTCAGAGATTTGCCTGCTTCTGCCTCCTGAGTGCTGGGATTAAAGATATGTGCCACCACCACTCGGCTCAAACATAAATTTAAAAAATAATTTTTAAAAGAATGATATGTGGCCAGGCAGTGGTGGCATGTGCCTTCAATCCCAGCACTTGGGAGGCAGAGCCAGGCGGATCTCTGTGAGTTCAAGGCCAGCCTGGTCTACAGAGTGAGTTCCAGGACAGGCACCAAAACTACACGGAGAAACCCTGTCCCAAAAAAACAACAACAACAAAAGAATGAAATGTATGTCTGTGCACATCTGCATGACTGTGAGTGTTGGTACCCAAAGAGGGGTGAAAAAACATTCAATTCCCTGGAGCTAGAGTCACAGGCAGTTGTCAGTCACCCAACGTGGGTGCTGGGAACAAAACCTGGGTCTTTTTTTAGCAGCTTCTGGCTCCTTGAAAACTTGGTCATAGGTGCTAGGAAAATACTCTTGCCTTAGACAGAACCACATGTATTTTCAAATAATGTAGCCTAATACTAACTTTACATTAATTTAGAGCCATGCTGTCATTGACAGAATGCCAAAAAGCAAGTCTGTCCTTCACAGAATAACTGAAAAGATAAACCAGAAACCCCTTCTTTATTAGAAACTACAGTTAATAAAAACCATGTTAGCAGTCTATATCTTGTTAGTCAGTTTTCTGCTGCTGTAGGGAGTGCTGGAGACAAATGAACTCATTAAGAGACAAAGTTGTTGGGTGTGGTAGCTTACACCTGTAATCCCAGCACTCAGAAACTGAGGCAGTTAGACTACATGAGTTTGAGGCCAAGCCCAAAGTGAGTTTCAGGGAAGCTTAGTCTACAGAGTGAGACCTTGACTCACATACATACATACATACATACATACATACATACATACATACAAGCTGGGCATGGTAGTACAAGTCTGTAACCCAGCACTTTGGAAATGGAAACAGAACAATCAAGAGTTCAAGGTTATCCTTAGCTACAGAATTTGAGTCGAGCCTGGGCTACATGAGGCTGGATCTCAAAAATCATTCGGGTTGGGGATTGGCTTACAGTTTTGGAAGTTCCAGCCCCCGATCTAGTAGAGCCATCCTTTGGGGTCTGCAGTGAGCCGCACACAATGGCAGGGTCCACATGACTGAATAGTTACTCAACTCAGCCAAAAGCAAAAGGAGAATGAAGAAGTGGCCAGGGCCCAAATAACCCCCTGACGGGCAGTTACCAGTGACCCTCCCTCCTAAAGTTTCTACCGACTCCTCATAATGCCACAGCTGAATGCCAGCTTTTAACACATGGGCCTATGGAGGGCATTTCCCACTCAAATTATAGCCTCCACATTACAGCACTCAGTCCCGCCATTAGAAATACAACAGAGAGGGGAAGGTGGGGGTGGGGGGGGAGGGGGTGGGGAGGGGGGAGAACAAGGGGATCCGTGGCTGATATGTAAAATTAAATTAAATTATAAAATTTAAAAAAAGAAAAAAATTAAAAACACAAAAAGAAAAAAGAAAAGAAAAGCAACAGAGGACACGATACTAGTTAGCGGTAGTGACAGCCACTGACGTTTATTGAGTACCTACTGCTTCTAAGCTCCATTTGTAATGCTTTACATGGATTCATTTCATGTCCATAACTACCCTAGGAGACAGAGTGCCTCATGTTAAAGATGGGAAACCACCTCCCTAACTACACACGTCAGAGACAGTAACTCATACATGCACACCAATTTGTGCTACTTTTATCACAGGAATGGCTTTCATGATTTTGGAAACCTACCTCAAAATCCCAAATCTGTGTCCTTCTTCGCTGTCTGCAGAACTACTGTTCATTTTTGCCCTTGGATAACATCAACCCTGGCATTCTTTGCTGTCTGCAGAACAACCGTTCATTTTCACCCTTGGATAACATCAACCCTGGCATTCTTAGACTGGGACACTTCCTCTAGGACCTGCATGTTTGATTTGCTTCAGAAGGTTTGTAAAAAGACACAAGCCAGGCAACTGTTGGTTACACGGGCAGAGCCCGCCACCTTTCATCTAGGAGACTTCCTCCCTGCTGGGACCTAAAATGTTTTTTTCACTCAGCAAACTGACTCCCCTCTGCCTGTGGGAACCAAGCCCTGGGGAAATGAATTTAGGGTGTGGTAAAGCTCTCTCTCTCTCTTTTTTTTTAACTTGCAGAAGCACAGTTCTGGCTCCAAGGAGCCTCAGACTTTTCATTCTTTTAACTAAAGCTATAGTTTTACTCCACGCTCCTGTTTCTCAGACTACTTCTGAGAAAGTGGAATGCCACTGAGTCTGGGGGGAGTTAGGAACATTCTAGACATTATTCCCACACTTTAACTTCTCATGCAATTGTACACCCACAAGGAGCGAGGCTGCCAGTCTGGAAACTCCTGCTCTTGTCAATTGCTAATCATGGGCAGTCTCGTCCCAGTCCGAGATCTTAGAGGAGAGCTACAGGAACCAGGAAGACCTTCGTTCGGAAACAACCACCAGTGCTTTCAAAGTCAGGTTCGCTTACAGTGAGGTCTTCCCACTCTTTGGGGACTAGGTGAGTCCGACTTCACTTTCTTCTGCAAAGCTTCATCAGAACGTTCCAGAGCACCTTCCAGGCCTTGCTCAGAGTCAGGCTTTGACTCTCCTGCTTCGTTTATATGGGACTTGTCAAGGTTTTCAGACATCCTCAGTGAAGTCTATTCACTCTTCTAGGAGAGAAAGACAATGAGCCAAACGTATGCACAAAGCCAAAGCTCTGAGTTTCGGTTCTCTCAACAGGCTTTCAGAAGTTTTAATCATTTACACTCTACTTCAGTGATCAAAGACACTTAAGCAAGGACACCTGTAAGTCTTTGAGGATCGCTGGAATATTTGTACCCCACTCCTGAATAACCTGTCACAAGTGGGGAGAGGGACTTAAACTGAGAGAAGACATAACTGCCTGCTCCTGCTTTAATCAAAGGGAGTGGTGACTCAATCTTAAGCCTTTATTTAGAGACAGTATTTCCCTACATATCCCTTACTGACCCTGGGCTGTCTATGTCGTCCAGTCTGGCCTTGAACTCATGACCTTCCTGCCCCCAATTCATAAATGCTAAGACTACAGATGTGCACCACCACACCCACCTGAAACTAACACTCTTTACTTCCGTGGCTGGAGCTTACAGGAAAAGTCCTTCAAAGCTGGGCCTGGTTACACACTCTTGTAATCCCAGCACTTGGAGGTGGAGGACAGAGCAACTTCAGGACTAGGGTCCCTTAAGAAAAAATAAACATCACCAAAATGCAACTCATTGGAAACAACGCTTCTAGTCACCTTCTAGTACTGTGCTGAGGAGATGGATGGCGTCTAGTCCTAGTGTGTGAATAAAGAAACCTGGGAATGGCAGTTGGAGAGATGGCTCGGTAGGTAAGACGCTTTCTCTGAAAGCTTGAGGACCTGAATTCAGACCCCTTGTACCCACTGAAGCCAGGCACTGAATCATGCCTGGAAGATATTCAAAGATGATCTCTCTGGCTTCTATGTCCATGCACAGGTGAGTACTCATACATACACAACTTTTCCCTTAGATTCTAAAAAAGTAACTGGGAGACGCAGGCAGATCTCTGTGAATTCCTTGCCAGCCTGGTCTACATAGTGAGAGCTCCAGGATAGCCCAACCTACATAATGAGACCCTGTCTCAACAACCAAACAAATGAAATAATAAATAAATAAGTAAATGGGGGTGACAAATAGTACTGTCTAGACTCTATAAAGTATTTAAGAGAAATGTGTGGGGCATATATATATATATATACACATACATACATATATATATATATTTTTTTTTAATTTGTTTTTTGAGATAGGGTTTCTCTGTGTAGCCCTGGCTGTCCTGGAACTCACTCTGCAGACCAGGCTGGCCTCAAACTCACAAGATTCACCTGCTTCTGCCTCCCGAGTGCTGGGATTAAAGTCATGAACCACCATCAATCAGCTTATATTTTTAAGTAGTTGCTAACCAACAGGAAAGGCATATGAGTAAAGTAGGGAGTAGCAAGCAATCATAATGAATGTGACAGGGGTCTTCACTGTATTAGCTGCTGATAGGAACAGGAGTATTACCTGACACTCTCGTCCAGTTAATAAAGGCATTTTTCAGAAGATTTATTTAATGTGTGTGCGTGTTTTTGCCTGCATGTATGCCTGTGCACCCACTGCATATGTGCCTGATGCCCAAGCTGGTCAGAAGAGGGCAATGGATCCCCTGAGCTAGAGTTATAGATGGTTGTAAGACAACATATGGGTGTTAGAATCAACCCTTCAACATCTGGATGAGCAGCCAGTGCTCTTAACTGCTGAGCCAGTTCTCCAGCCCAAGACTGACTTATTTTTATTTTATATGTATGAGTGTTTGCCTGCACCTATGTGGACCATGTGTGTGCAGTGCCCTCAGACACCAGAGGAGGGCATCAGATCCCTGGAACTGGAGTGAACAGGTGGTTGTGAGGTGCCACATGGGTGGTGGGAACCAATCTGCGCCCCCAGCAGAGCAGCCAGCGCTCTGGACTGCTGAGCCATCTCTTCAGTTCCATCAAGGAGTCTTTCAATCACATGAAAGGTTTTTAAGTCCTCCCCTCCCTTCTCTGTTGTTAGGACATTTCCAGTTAAGAAAGACAATGCTTCTGCATTTACAATACTGAACTAATTACACCCAGAAGATCACAAACTCTTGTCATAAACACTAATTGAGCCGAATCACACACTCGGCAGGTAATCAAGTATCTAAAGAAATGTAGGCTGTTTTAAGGAGATTTGGCACACTTCTCTTCGGCATATTGGAAAGAGAAGAATCGCCTGATATAATTATCTAAAATCTCCAGAGACCTCCATTAAATAGAATAAAGTTACTGGTCTGTTGTGATGGTTGGTCTCAACTGTCAACTTGGTGATATGTAGCTTCTACCTTGGAAAGGACCCTCTGTGAGAACTGTCCCGATTAGGCTGGCTCATAGGAATGCCTGTGAGAGACTGATTACGTTAATTGAGATGGGAAGACTCCATTTCCTGAGCTGGGTTCTGGTCTAACAAAAGGAGAGGGAACGATACACCAGCATTTGTTGCTCTGTTTCTTGACAAAGAATGTAATGTGACCAGCTGCCACAGGTTACAGCCCTGGACTGTGAGCAAAATAATCACCCTTAAGTGCTCAAGTAACTTCCGTCATTTATTTGTTTACTTTTGGAGGCAGGGTCTCACAACCCAGGCTGGCCGTCACCACCTCACAGAGATCCGCCTGCCACTGCCTCTCAAAGGCTGGGATTGAGGGGTACCACCATGTCAAGGTGCATTTCACCTTTCGAATCCAGTGCCTGCTCCCCTTTAGAGACAGGGTCTTTCTATGTAGCTCTGGCTACATAGAAACTTACCAAGTTAACCAGGTTAGTCCTGAACTCATAGAGCTCTGCCTGCCCCTACCTCCTGAGTTCTGGGATACAGGCAAGTTCCACCACACCCGACCCAATGCTTCTTCCCAAAACCCATCTCTTCACTGTCCTAAATCCTACTAGAGTTTGGAGGTGCAACAGACCCGATGTATAACATCACCTACAGATTCCATAAGAAAGAAAACCACACCTAACTTTATCCTCTTCACATGCCAAGGAGCTGCCCAGATGATGAAGTCATTCAGTAGGTGCAGAGAGGAAGAAAAGCAAGACTCCTTTAAACTCAGTAGACAGCCCCCCAAACCGTTCAGGCTCTGTCTCCTCCCTGGGCGCTTCCTCCAACCTTATGAATGTTTACACTTTTCTCCAGTGTCCTGCAGGGCTGACTGCTAGACAGCTGGCATTCATCACCGCCTTAAATTCCAGTCAAAATATGATTATTTAAATAGGGATAGAAAGAAGAAAACAATCTAGCCAGAGAGAGACAGGCATGCTTGCAGAAGAGCCACAGTGAAACACAAAGTAGCATGACTTTGCTATTCTGAATAGCAGGAGGAAGCTGAGAAGACCTTCCCAGAAAGGATGACACGTGACCTATCTTTGAAAGGAGTAGAATTTCACCCAGTTATAAAGCCGGGAGTGGGGGAGAGCTGAGGATGGGAGGTGGGAAGGGGTGGTATTTCATTCCTCTGGCAGAAGCCATGGCACCTGAAATGGAAATGTGACAGGTAGTGAAGATGGGAAAGAAGAGTTGGGGGTCAGATGGGGAAAGTGCTAATTTGTACTTAAAAAAACAAAACGAAACTCTTCGCCTAGCTTTTGAACTTCTCAAGAGCCAAGACCAATCAAGTTCTCCATAAACTCCATTAGTCTATCTGCACCACCCCCAACCGCGGCAAGCAGATACCCATCTGTTGATAGACATAAATCCCTGTGTCATCTGTGTGATGTCACGATTTGGGAGAGGTTGCCCAAAGTGTTGAAGGTAGCGCTGAACCTGTGGTTTGAAACTGACAATACCTTTAGTAAAAGTGATCCATTTTTCTTAAAATATCCCTACTGAGATCCGATTCTGGCTCTTTAGAGGCTGTGTGACTTCAGTTTTCTACGGAGTTACGTACCTCCTCATTTAACGGCTAAGACTACACAGAGACCACAGGCTGGCATACAACCACCATTCCACGATTGGCAACTATAATTAAAGGGCAGTGGGGGTGCATCCGGGGGGTGGCTATTTTAATTGCTCTCATTCATTGACTCAACCATCATAAAACCCTTCTGGTACCTAACCAGGAAACCGAGGGGGGGCGGATCCTGGCACGGGGACTCGCATCTCTCAGGAGCTGCACGCGGGCCCAAGCTGAACACAAAAGAATCCTCCAGAAAGGGTCATTCAGTGACAGAAAGATCTCTGCCCCACTGGCGCCGAATCTTCGTCCGGATTCCGTTGTAAACAGCTGTTTCGGCGGGCGAGGGAGAGGCGGAGGCGCGCCGGGATCGCGGCCTGGAGGGTGGGCCCCCACCCGCCCCGGGTCCCCTCTTCGCCTCCACCCGGCATCCCCGGGACCCGACCGGCCGGGAGTGGCCATGAAACGCCGGTGCTCCCTCCCCGCGCCTCCCGGGCTGGCCCGCCGGCCTCCACGGCCGCCCCGCTCACCTGCCGCGGCGTCGGCGATCTCCCTGCGGCCGCTCCCGCTGCGAATCCCGCGGGGCCGGCGCCGCCAAGGGGCGGGAGCGACGCGCGGCGGGCTGGGCGCCTGGGCCTCCACCCCTCCCGGACTGCCTCGCTCGCTCGCTCGCTCGTCGGGCTGCGGGCCGTCCTGTCAGCCCCGCGGCGGTGGGCAGCCGCCACGGTGACCGCTCCTCAGTGCCGGGCTCTGGGAGGCGGGTGCGAGCCGAGATGCGCCTGCCCGGCCTGGGGCGGCGCCATGTTCCTGTACGGCAGCAGCGCTCCCGCTGTCACGAAGGGGGCTCGGGAATCGGGGGCTCGCAGCCGAGCCGCACCGTGTTTGTGTGTGCAAATAAGGCCAGCGCGGGGTCTGGAGCCGGGCCTGGTGCGGGCCGAGGGGCGCGGCGGCGGCGGCGGCGGC